TTCTTTTTTCCAACTACCATGTCTATGCCTTTTACAAAGCTAACTGCTTCACATTTTCTGAGGATACTGGAAAAAGTGTAACTTTTTCTGCCACTCGTTTTTCCAAAATTGCTTATTCTTGCAGAGGTTATTGAAAAGCAAAAGGTATCTGAGACAGATTTAAAAGGCAGTTCTTAAAAAATCACATGAGTATTGATTTAACTGTTTAGGGGGGCAATATTTGAGAGCCTTAGAGAAACTGTTTCTAGAATTTAGGGGTTTTTAAGGACATGTGATACCTAAAAAGCCAAAGTTTGTCAGAGAATGGCTCTGCCTTTTTTCAACCAGGCTGCCCATCAGATTTATGTAATCTAACCATTGTCAAACAAGGGTGGGATGCTTAGTAAGGAATGTGACCAAACAAGACTTTGGAGTACAGTACAAAGCAAAACTATATTATTATAATTTGTAGATCTCCATGTAACTGTTCTTGTGACAATTTTCTTAATACTTCCCATTTTATTAATCTAGATTAGGTATGCATCCATAGACTTTCATCTTTCTGAAAATTCTTATGACCTTTCCAGCCATAAAAGGCCTGGAGGACTGAAAAGCCATGTGACTACACGGGCAGCTGGACTATTCAGCACTATATTAAGTGAATAATAAAAGCTTTCTCTCTCATAAAGCTAAAACTTAGAACTAGCTAGATATCTATCCCGAGAAATCTTAAGGAGGCAGATTTCAGAAAACATACCCCCTTCTGAAAACCAGTCCCCATCAAAGTTGCTCAATCACAATACAGAAGCACTCCAAGCCACTAGACAGATTTAGAACACCTCAATCAACATGTACACAGCTGCTAATCATAAAAAAACCCTCTTAAAGCCAATTGGCACAACCACATGACAGAAACAGTGACAGATACAGAGCTTTGTTATTTGTTATTGCAGCTGGCAATAGGATAGAAGGAACTGAGATGAACAACAGTAAGATCTAAATGAGGAACTGTCTTCAAGCATGATGTGAGTCTTCCTCTCTGACACATCCAAACTTGCCCTCAGGCAATGAAAAGCATTTATGACTAGCCTTTTCTCTCCAATACATCTGAACACTTTGCTCTTTGATACTACTGCTTTGTACTACAGTAGTGCCTAGGAATGTAGGTTTCCTTTTGATTAAACCAAAGGAAGAATCTCTTTGTGAATGAGAGTTTAAGACCTCGCTCTTGCATTGGGATGCACATAGACAAAACGGCACAACTGTGAAAAGATACTGTGAGGTACAGTTTCAAACTGAGTGTTGTGAGACTGATGATAGGAGATCATGAAGATGGGAGGAAGTAGATAGTAATAAGAAAATGTAATTATTGTGTCTGTTCAACCCCATTTGATCATTTCTAACACCTACATTTTTTTCTGGACTGTAACTAAATACATAGATACCACATATCCTCAGTATGTCTACTATCTTTTTTCCATTGCCAGTGTTCTATAGGTACAGAGGCTGGGACAAGTCTAAAGGATAGAATTTAAAAACATCAGTGAAACAGGAAATCTGACCATTTCAAGGTGAATATTCTTCCTATACCACATACATAGGTCACAAAACGCTTGATGTATTTAAAGGATTTTCATTAATATCAGTTCTTGAGAGAGAGGCAGTTGTGTTGTGTTTTTTTTTCTTCTGCTTATGGTCTAATGAAGAGAAAAAGAATTTCTTTTAGAACATCAAGAACTTTACAAAGTTCACAAAACGCAACAGCATAGGACAGGTGGAAGCACAATGTAGAGATCCCATCCAAAAGCCAGAGATTTTATGACTTAACAAACTTCCCTCCCAATGAAAGATTCTGAGCAAGATCATAGAATTTGATAAGACAACATTCTCAAGAGTCCATAAACAAGAGACAATAGAAGGAGAAAAACAATCTTACAATCCATGAGGAAAACTCTAATAGTGCCTTACTGAGGGGTATACTTGAGTCAGAATTAAAATGAAAGTGGCAGCATTAGAAGCTGAACTGTCAAAAGTGGGAAGTATTTCCAATGTAGAAAATGTTCCTTTGATGAACATTTAGAACAAGCTATACAAGCTGCCTTGGAGTCAATGGACAACTATCTGCCCTAAGTAGAAACAGAATAACTATAAACAATGTCTTAAGAATATTAATATTAAGAAACATGTTAATTAACAATATGAACACTCATGAGACTGAGTCTTTCCCATTGCCTTAGAGCTAGAATTGGCCTGTTATGCACCAAGAACACTCATTTGGATTACAGATGGCAAATAACTGACAGAAGCAAGCTCCAGGCATGTTTTTTCATCTTTACTATGCAGTCTTAACACTAATTTAACTTAGTGTTTACATTTTCTCTTTATTTTACAATATGACACAGTAGATAGCTGCACTGTTCCACACACAGTCTGAATTGTCAAATGCCATATATGAGATTATTCTCTTTTTCTCATGCAACTAGATGGTCAAAATGTAGCACTCTGAACCTTAACAAAAATGAAAACCTTGTGTTTAATATGCCTATAGCAAAAAGCATCTCCTGTGGAGATTATTAGCTGACATCCTACTTAATATAGCAACAGTAGCACTATTGCTCCTGAGGAGATCATTATCCTGTTTTGCTATATTTGAGGGTAGCATCTGATTCACATCAACACCGACATGTCCCTTCATGATTGTTTTGAACAAATGCTATTATCCAGTCAAAGTGATTTTTTCCCTCTGTCAACGTGGCAAGTACATTTAAAATAATCACACAGTCAAGTGCCTCTGTGCATTGTACCATTTTAAAAACTGCTTATAATCAGGAGATGCTAATAGATTAGTTTTGAAATAAGAAAATTATTAAAAACAACAAATGGAGACATAGTACATTTCAGAATTATTCAAGACACAAACATAAAACACCACTTATTCTCTTAAGAAGTTAATGGGAGATCCTCCAAAGACTTTGGATGGTCTTTGGCTCATTACCCTACCTGTGAATGGGGAAGCAGGACAGATTTCCCTCCAGGCCCAAGAGGGCTGAAATCTTTGGCATGAGCTCCAGTGCCTTGTCACTTCCATTCATGGGCAGCAAATTCAGTATTTTAGAAGGTAATTTATTTGTTTAAAAATAAATAAAGCCCATCAAAAACTGTCATGGAATAATGTAAAAATAGGGAATATTTTTAAACTATAAAGATTGCCTATTTGGATCATGTCCCTGGTAATCTTTGCTCTTTTTCCCTTGCCAGAAAGAAATTTAATACTGCAACCTTTATTCATACGAAAGTAACATTTGCAAATGTGCACTGAAGTCAAGCCAGCCTGGCTCTTATGGGTCAGACTGCAAGGCCCTTATTAATATTGCAAAATGGTTGCACAAGTCTTTCAGGTGACAGAAAATGAGCCAGTTTATATAGCTGCTCATCAGTGTGAATAATGACAGTAATGAGGCCATAAATTGGAACAGTGGGGAGACTTGCTAGCATTGGCTAATTTCATAAGTATTTTCAATTGGAAGTACAGCAAAATAAAAATATTTGGCACCATGAAAGCTGAACTTCATATTGCTGGATTATTTTCAGCCACAGTGAGTAGACGTCATTTGATGATACTTAGTGTATTGTAGAAAACATTTACATTCTGGATTTCCTTATTTTATTTTGGAAAGCTATACCATCTGACATGCACACCACCAGTCAATCTTTGGCACTTTTATCTGTGCAGATGTCCTTTATTCTACCTGTCCCTCTTCATCTGTGTTTCCATTGTTCAGAAGCAGTGTTCTCCCAATATTTCAAATAATAAAACCATGCAGTCAATTAGAAATCACAAATACATGGAAATATTTAGTTTCTGTCTTTGCTTTTTGTGTTATCCAATAGTGGTCCTACCCTACAAATAAACCTAATATTTTGTTCTTAAAACTGTATGCTAACATCTTAAACAACATTTGGCAATCATAAGCATCTGCAGAGACTGCAGGAAAGAGAAAGAGAGAAAGAGAGAGACAGTAAAATTCAATTATCTCCAGTAATTTTTAATGAAATCAATAGGTTTGCAGATGACTTATTTAAAAAAAATATTATATGTTTAATCACTAAATGATATATATTTGTGATGATTACATGATTTTACTGTCATCTAGAGGCCAGAGAGATAGCTAGGACATATCATACATAAGGTGTGTAGCTACTTAGTTTCTTCCACATTTCCTTGGTTTTGGAAACATATGGGATTTTTAGAGATAATGAAGCTGCCTGTTGGTTAGAAAACTTATTATTTTCCCATTCTTGTGCTGCTATTGAAATAATAACGTTTGAAAACACTGACATTCACATACGGTCATAGCTTTCATGGTCTTTAGTTCAATTACAATTGGCATGCCATTGGAATGAGCAAACTGTAAGTTTGATGTCTGTGTTTTAAAACCATTTGATGTATTTTTCACACTAATATGTCAACTGAAAGCTTTCAAAGGAGCAACTTTTACTGATGGGTAATAGGCTAAAATGTACAAGAAAAAAACCAACATTGACAGTGGGGTGTTACTGCACTGGGCATTCACTTGGGTATAGCATTTCTCTAGTAGGATCTATTTTTTACAAATCTCACAGAAATCCAGTTAGTAGAGGCATTTTAATGAAAAATCCATCTTACTGCAAGACTTTTCCAGCCAAAAGTCTCTAACTGTAACCTAAAGTAGGAAATAAGTCACTATATATGCCATCAGTTGTTTTCCCTTCTTATGTCTGGCTTTTTCTTTGTTTCTACAAGTTCATCTTATGAATCCTAGAGTCTCAAAGCACTTTTAGACCAGTGAACAAAGGGGAAAAATTCAGAAAAAATGAAGGAGGGAAAAAGAAACCTCTGACCTGATATTACAAAAAAAACCCAAACAAACAACAAAAACAACCAAAAAAAAAAAAGACACTAAGATGAAAACAAAATAGTGCCATGGATTGACATATGGGGTTTTGATGGAAACTAGGGCTGGGTTTTAAACAAAACTCACCATCTCAAAACCACTTCTTTTCATCCGCCTGCAGGACTTGAGGTAAGTACGTATGCGCTTTCTGGCACGCTCTTGATACTCAGGGAATTGTCGCCTGCATGAGTCAATGATAGCCTGGATCTTTTCTTTGGGCTGCTTAGAGATTGGGACCATTCGGTCTAAGTTTTCATCTACAAACAGCCTGACAAACATCTGTTGGCAAGAGGGAGACAGAGGAGATGGGTTTGGAGGGTGGCTCTCTTCTCTTCCTAGCTTTCTGTCTTGATTACCAATAGGAAGACATCTTTTCTATCCACTGAAGAGCTTTGTAATGGGAAGCCAGAAATATTAAGCAAACAGTTCTTTAAAGGGTTATTGCGGGGGGGAGGGAGGGTGCTGATTTTAAAAGAAGACAAGAAAAGAATAGTCTATAGGATACAGAACTTGTGAGGTAAAACAGAACAGATTGTGAAAATAGGCACTACTTAAGTTTCATTATTAACAATAAGCTGTGATTGCTAATCATTTTATTGAACTGAATCTCACTTTTTCTTTGTTTGAACACTTGCTTGTGTTTTCATGCATAATTACATACATTGGGAAAGCAGCTGACCACTGCAATGGTCTTCTGATAAACAAGCTACAGCTCCTTCCCGCTCAATGAGTGAACATGCACATCCACACCTCCACATCCACACACACGGACGCACAGGCACACACACAAAACAAAGCTTTGTCTTCCTCACTGGTAAAGATGGCCCTCTGCCTTAAGATTCTAAAAAAAACACAGTAAATCTGTCATCCGTTGGCAAGAGTTTAATGTGCATCAAAATAATAATTGAAATAAATCCTGCAAATTAAATTAATGTGCCTTTAATATTGTCAAACTTACCCATAATTAACAAGGTAAAGGAACAGATGTAAACCAGACAGGCAGTGCAAGGAGACTTACGTTAAAAGCTTTCAGTCGCTCAGCTTCTACCCCATCTGATTCATTAACCTTCTCAGGATCTTCCTGCTCGTCATGGTCATCCTCATCTTCATCTCCTCGATTCAGAGACAAATCTTCAGCACCTCTGCCTACACTCTCATTCTTGCCAGAGTCATAGCTTGAATAGCTATGTGCAGGGGACTGAAAATGGACAAAAAAGAATGTGCTTGTAAAAATTCACCATGGAAATAAAGTCTACTCATCCAAAACACTTTGTAAGAATTTAAAGAATTTTGTTTCTTTTTACTCTTTGTTCAACATAAAGTGCTCACAATCCTTGTAAGAGTGAACAGTTCACATTAATATTCATTTCAGTACTTAAAAAGAAAAAGGTGAGCAGCTGTAAATTCAATAAACCAATTAACAAATTAATTACCTATGATAATCGCAGTAAACATGAGATCTTTGCCCTTACAGCCTTCTTTAAATACTACATTCAGAAGTGTCTTACAAATATCAACTTCTTTGTATTAGCCAAGATGTAAATAAGGGGCAGTTGATTTGCACAAAAATATAAAGGATTAAAAATTCCATGTTTTAAGGCAAAGATGATTTAAGCAGAAAATACTGTTATTAGTTATTAATCCAATCAATATGAAATATTTCCCAGAGCTGCAATAAGCTATTGAAAACATGGAGATAATTATGTTCCAGTTTCACTTGCAAAACCCCAGAATGAGTTAGAGATGTGCAGGTTTGTTAACATCTTGAATACTATTCTGAGAATTGTATAGTAAAACCATTTTCCATTTGCATATCAACATTCAGAATTTTCTCCTGAGCAGAACATTTAGCTTGCTGGATAAATCAGATGACCATCTCATTAAAATGTATCCATGTGAAGGACCAAGAAATTTTTCATTACCAAAAGTCAATAATGTGCACTTTTTCCTTGCAATATGAAGACTTCAGAAATATGTCTCCTTTATATACACTTCAAAATGCCACACACAAAAAACATTCAGTAGTAAAAAGCCTTCTACAACTTAACACTCTAGGATCAAAGCTTCACCCCAGTCTCACAAAAGTATCAGAGAGTATCTTCACCAGAGCAATCAGGTTCACATTTAGGTAATGCAGAACACAATTTTACTTTTATAATATTTTAGTCCTGTAATATTTCAGTATTTCCCTCTTTTGCTTCAAAGCACACTGTAGTCTGTAACCTTCAGAGAGTCCTGAATCAGGTGCTACATGATGAACTTCACACACATTCTTTTCTTAGATGCCTCCTGCCTAAATGTCACCAAAAATCAGGAGCATAATGCCTCATTCAAAAATACATTTAAAATACTTAAAATAACATGCCTTGATCTACATTCTGAGCCTCCTAAAACTGTCTTTATTTCAAGGGTGTTTTCACCAATGACCAGTGTAGCTGGGCAGTGAAGCAGGAGAACAAAACCAACAAAACCATTAATCTTTAAGGTATACTTCTTTCTTTATATTCTTACACCAACTCCTTTTTTTTTCTTTTTTTCCCCTTTCTTCATTTCCATCGTGTCTTGGTCCTCTGCACACCCCCAGTTTTGCAGTGACTTCCATTCATTTCCTTGCCTTGCCTCAACAGCACTCATCCTTCAAACCCTCCTTTTTTATCTATCTGCCATAGACTATATTCTCACAGTACAAATCCCCATGGGTTCCACTTTTTACTCCTTAATGCTCCTGACATAAGACCTTGCAGCCTCTCTCATCTCCTTTCCTGAATCTCTTCTCTTTCTAGACCACTCTCCACTTCCCAGATCCTTACAGCAGACATAGGGAGAATGAGAAAACACCAAAAGAAAATGGAACAATCAGCCTCTGGATACAAACACCTTCAATAAGTAGCAAGGTCACCATCACTTCTTCTCTTTATACAGCCTATTACAGTTTTGAGGCAAGAAATGAGCCAGGATTCAGCATGGCAGACATGAGATGGCATAGGAAGAAAAGACTCAGGAGCATATTTTGTCCTGAGAAGATGATGGATATCTATGCTGCTACTGATTCAGATTACCATTCCTTGCAGGAGGTGCTGTATCCATTGAATAATGAGGCTCTAGAAGAATATGATTTCATCCTGATACAAGATGATGGCTATAACTTATGAAAGCGTTTAGCACATATAAGCAACAGTATTTAACCTGGCCAGTAGCCACCAGAAGGCCAACCCCTGCAGCCTGGTAGCCTGTTATGAAAGAATACAAAGTGTGGTTTTCCTTGCTCCTGAAGAGATTCCCAGAAGACTATTTTTAAAGAAGCTACAATTTATACAATTTATTGTTACAATTATTGTTATTGCGTCCAAGTGCTATGCAGTAGAAGATCTGACCTAAGCAAGACTTGTTCTTTCGTACTCTGTTTCACCTCATACTACAGCTATACAGCATGCAGAGGGCTTCTAGATAACCAAAAGGCCAGTTTATGTGTTAGGCCCCATATAAAGTGTAGTAAGCAGAAGCTACTGCCCGGAAGAACCCTTGTCTGAAACCCTTGTTCTGCAAACACTTGATTTCACAAGAGTCATTGCATCAGAATAAATACAATTAGATTACTCATGTGCATGAAGTTAAACAGATAAAAAACTGATTTCAGTATGTACATATGTTTGGGCTTGATGCCAAGATCATAAATTATGCAGCAGAATTGAGATTTGTTTTTGTGAAGGAAAGAAATTTAGGCCAAAGAGGATTAGTTATATCTCTCAAAAATGCAATAGCAATTTTTCTCTGAAGAAAGCATTGTATAGAGAGCCTTGTCCAGTGTCTTATCCAAAATATTTATTTTGAGAAAAACTTCCCCATTTTAAATGAACTGTGGAGAATAACATATTCTGAGAAAGTTGCATGGCAGAAATCCTTATTTATTATTGCAGATTTGAAGACTGTGTACAGTGGAAGGGAAAAAAAAGTGGGTTTTTTCCTAGCTGTGGCATCAGGAAACTGAGGTAAGAGGTTACAAAAGCTCAGTTAAGAATAAAATTTCTACTTTTTTCTATTACTACAGAGATTAATATTAAGTCAGAGAAGAAACAACTGACTGTTTCTCTCACTTTTGTTGACTCTTTAGTTGTGCAAAAGCTAGTAAACACATTCTTTTGGAACTCTATTAAGCAGCTGCAGTGCTAAACAAACACAGATTAGGACAGCAGAGGACATCGTTGCCTTAGTACACATCCCCCAGTTTTAGGCCTTGCACTGTCGTTTCAAAAGACTGCTTCCACCTTTGCCAGACAGGAACCTGCTTATTCAGATTGACACATACATCTTTATGGTCCTGCAGTGAACTAGGCTGGAGAAATTACCCTGATTAAAATGTGTTGGTTTGTTTTGGTTTGCCAGTCAGTTTAAGATCAGGAGCAGTTCTTGGCTCCAGCTCACTACCTGAAATCACAAACAGTGTGTGAACATGGAAGGGAGAGAGGTACCATACAGCAACGCAAGATTAAAGCAATCATGTGGGCATTAGTAGACACAAGGTGTTCCACAGGTGAAACCTTTGTGCTTAACAAATGTGGGCTGGAAAAGAAAGGGACAGGAATGTAAAATAAGAAATTATTCAAGGAGTACAAATGAGGCCAAGATTAAAGCCAAGAGTATTGCCTCCCCTAAACATTTATGTTATTATAGAGTTGTCTTAAAAATACAGAGATGTTGACAGATATTCTGGTCACTTTGTCCTTGCTCTTTTGTGAAGATTCTGAGTTCCTTATTTTAATCTCTTCCTTGCAATAATAAGTATTAAGACACTTCTGCTTTATAAAAATGGAAGTAAAAATTCTTGTCTAACAACCTGCTTCCAGGAGCTTGTAACATGATATATCAACATCCTTCCAATACATTACAAGTCAGCAACAAAAGTCACCTGAAGTAACGCAAGGGTCAAATAGCACAATAAAAGACCTCAGAGGACAATTGCAGTGTCATCTAGCTCATCTAGGTGCTGCAAAACAAAGTCAGAAGAACATTCCTGATCACAGTTTGGTTGTTATCTTAAGACTTGCAGTGACAGAGATGCCATGCATCCCCCATACTGTCTTTGGAATTATTAAAATATTTTTAACACCCACCTCTGATTTTCATAGGCAGTACTAAGCCTATTTCTTTTTCACCTAGCTACCACATATTGCAATGGAGGACAAGTGTACCTGGAGAAGACAGCGTTCTATTCTATCTTTACAAGCATCTTTCAGACATTTGAAGACTGTTATCAATCTTCTCTTCCCAATAAATGCATTCATGCTATTAAACTCATGTTTTCCAGATTCATAATCATTCTTACTGGTCTGGTCTGGATGTTCTCCAGCTGGTCTGAAACTTTCTCAAAAAAACAATTCCCAAAACTCCAAAGTGTATTATATTTGAGACCCTTCTATGCAAACTATATTCATTTATTGCTTGACTCATTTCTAATATGCTTACAACAGAAAAAGCTTATCACCTTCTTTGCAAGATAAAAGACTTACCCATGTATGCAAAAGTCAGCAATGCAGAAACCCCACAGTTGCCAACATAAGTAATCCTGCTATTTTGTGAGAAATAAAGCAGAAGCAATCCAGAACATCAATAAATATAAAGTCTAACAAAGTGCCACAATGCCTGGTAGGCTCAGACCTGGCGTATGGCCATCATGACATGGTTTGGAGGATGAAACCACAAGAAGTCACTGCAGGAGGTTCTCCCAGCAACTGACAGCAAGAGACTCTTGGCCGTCTCAGTGAGTGTACAAAGAAGGCTCTTGATTACTGGAACAGAAGTTATTCAGTGTGAGAACATTAATTATTGTGGCTGGTTATTTTTAATGACCAAAAATTGGAAATAGTATGTCTTTGTGATTTTTTAAAAACCCAAAAAGGGAAAAAATTACCCCAGTTTTTCAGGGGAAAAAAAACCTCTGAAGGAAGCTTAACAGATTTTTAAAATTATTTTTACATGAAGCTTCACTTTTCAAATTTACATTACAATTTATGTTTACATTTAGTTGCACCATGAATAATTCTTTCAATTGTCACATTAGATACCACAGTACTCCAGTGAGCTGAAGAGCTTTGGAGATTTAAAGAGTGGCACAAGAGTAGTACAGGTTTCCATACTGCATTGAAAGGAAAGGAGTTATGAAATAATATTTACTGGTAGGCAGAGATGAGAACACTCTAC